AAAAGGCCTTGGTTATTAAAATCAGTGACAAAAAGAACAGATCACTATTAAAATCAGTGACAAAAAGAACAGATCACTGAGCGAAAATGAGACAAAGACACCGTCCTGGTTTCACTCCATCATTAGGCCATCATACAGGCTGTGAGGAAAGCTGCTCGCGTTAGTTGATCAGTTTGACTTCATTCTAACTTCAGTACTACAAGCATGAACACTACCTTAATTCCACCAATGTTTCAAAATGTTCTGTATGATTCAGTGTGTGAGATGTAACCAGAGTGATTCAGAGCGGTTTGGTGTGAAATGGTTCAGATTTCTTTGGAGTGGTGGTGATAGAAACCTGTCTGAAGGTTTGGGGCCACAGTGGACAGACTTTGCTCTATTCTGTACTTCCAAAATGGCTCAGATTCACCTCACAATTAAATGTAACTGAAAAAATTTTTAGATGCGCTTTAGTGTCATTAGTTTGTAAATTCATCAGGTTTGTACCTCTTTGTGCTCACGGAGTCCAATTTTTCTGGCATTACAAGTTTACATTTTCTGAGCAATTTTTAGCGCAAGTTGTTTACCTGAAGGGAAACTCCATCATTTCTGCAAAATTCATCCACTGAGTCTTAATGGATGGCTGTCTTCTACACCGTTGTTAGTGTTTCCCTTGATAGTTCAGTAACACTTCATAACACTAGTACACATATAAGCACATACACAAAATTAGATATTTGGCATCTCATAATACTGAGAACTTTCTTGTAATAACAAGATGTTTTCTCAAAATTACGACATAACATCTCATTTTTATGAAAGGCTGAAGGGTTTATTGCTCATTCTGCTTGGCAGTAATACACCACCGTACAAAACAGAGGAAAATCTTAAATAATACGTAGTTGGGGACTATTTTGCCTCACGACACCCTGTATATTATGTATCCCTCCACCATGAATGGATTTTAAGTTCTCAAAACTACAGAGAAATAAAAATAATGTGTGGCCATGCCTTATTAACGCATGGGAACAAGATCCTAATGCGTGACCACAACTTAGCAAGGAGTGGGAATGAGATAATTAAGTAGTGACCACGACTTAGTAAGGCATAGGAACAAGATCATGCCTTACTAAGTAGTGGACACGCATTAGGATTCGCTTCCACGCCTAACTAAGTCATGGCTACAACTTATTTATCTTGTTCCCACGCCTTACTAAGTCATGGCCATGCATTATTTTTATTTATACAGGATGTCACCAGCGGGGCTCCATATAAAACAAGGTCTCAGACATCAGGTAGCGTATTCATAACCATCTCAAGTTCAGATCAAGTTGTTTACTTAAAGGGGAACTCCACCATTTCTGCAAAATTCATCCACTGAGTCTTAATGGACGGCTGTCTTCTACAACGTTGTTAGTGTTGCAATTGATAGTTCAGTAACACTTTATAATACTAGTACACATATAAGTGAATATGAATACTTAACTGTGAATGAATGAGTGAATGAGCGCACCAGCAAACAATGAGGGTTAATAAACTACTAAGTCACATAGCCACTAAAAAGGAGTCTCATTTCTTTACAGTGGTGGTGATAGGAACCAGGGGTCACCATGACTACAACACAAATATAGACATTTTATTTACTATTCTAAACCACCAGTGAACCTACATGTGTCGTGGCGTGGTTACATTTTGGTGGCATTTCGCTGCCAAGCAGAATAAAAAATAAACCCTTCAGTTTGTCGTTATTATGAGACGTGCTGTCGTATTTCTGAAAAAGCATGTGTACTGTCCTGCACTGTCCTGTATGTTTACTGTGTCCATCTGTTTTGATTTATCATATTAATTGCATTGTTTCCAGTTTAATGTTTCACTACGTCTGCACACTTGCACTGTCTGCACTGTCTATTTTGTTCCATGTTTCACCAGGTCCTGGAGGAATGTAATTTCGCTCCACTGTGTACTTGTACACAGATGGAGTGACAATAAAAGCCTCTTGACTTGACTTGAAAACATCAATTATGAGAAAATTTCTCATTACTTCAAGATGTTTTCTACTAACACATACACCATCACTCAAACAACATACAACACATTCTCCATCAATGCGAAGAACGCTTTCACCATGCAAACAACCATTTAAGCATGCAAATGGTTGTTTTGAGTGTTCATGGTTCTATATAGTCTTTACTAAAGAATCCCTGAAGAACTGTCCTTTTGAGTGCATGAATCAATACAGTGCTAATGAATTAGATTAACGCTCTGTAACAACAGTCTGACACCTCTATGTTTGTTGTCAAGCAACAACAAAAACAAACAAAAAATATTAAGGACTTTTTCTTTCTGCAAAACAATTTCAACACAACAATAACTTTAAAGTAGGGCTGGGCAATATGACAACATATATTGTTATCATGATAAATTATTTCACAATTCAATACAATCTGCTATTCTGAACATATGGTGTATATCGTCAGATCTCGTAGACACTGAACTGCATGTTTTTTATCATAAAGAGAAAAAAATTAGTCCCAGTTTAACTGGATTTAGTGACAAATATTCAATTAAAATCACTGTGTTCACAGCTTTTGATGGTATTGTTTAAAATGTAGCTCTACTTGCTTTTTTTCTCTGTTCCAACTAATCAGATGTCTGAAAAAATAAGTATAGTGACATATCGTGTATTGTGAAAAATTCTTGAAGCATTGCAATATTATTTATACTATTTTATTCGTATCGCCAAGCTCTATTGTAAATCATAAAATATCTTCTCTTCTACTTACAAAGGCAAATGTGAAATGAATTTAGAATAGTTTAGAATCTGCACTTTCCACACAATTTATCCTCGTTTCAATAAACTACAAAGAGAACGTAGAACACAATGATGTTTGCTTCACTGATTCTCCTTATACAAAAGTTTATTTAAAAACACACAAAAGAACAGACTCATTAACACACACATAAAAACTGGTCAGTTCATATCACAGCCTTCCAGAAAAACAACAAACACAAAATGAATGATCATAAGACATGAAATATGGTTTTAGATCAGATCAAATTGTACACTCTCAGAAAAGATGGTTCTTTAGTAAAGACAATGTTTCTACATAGAACCATAAACACCTAAAGAACCATTTGCATGTTTAAAAGGTTCTTCACATGCTGCAATGGTTCTTCAGATTGATGGAGAACGTGTTGTATATGGTTGTTCTACTGTGACGAGCTCAACATCGTAACAACAGAAGAACTCTTTTGGTGCTACACAGAACCCTATACAGGAGGGTTCTACAGAACACATCCTCCATCATTCACGATCAGAAGAACCATCTAAGCATGCAAATGGTTCGTTGAATGCTCATGGTTCTATAAAGAACCACTGTCTTCACTAAAGAACGCTTGAAGAACCATCTGTACAGACAACCAAAAACAAGTTCTTGAAGGGAATTCTATACATCTAATTTCTGCATAATTGAGTGTGCGAGATGTAAACAGAGTGATTCAGAGTGGTTTGGTGTGAAACTGTTCAGATGTCTTCACAGTGGTGGTGATAGGAACCAGGGTTCGCCATGACTACAACACAAATATAGACATTTTATTTACTATCCAAAACCACCAGTGAACCTACACATGTCTTCTGAGTTTTATATGGAATGCTGATGATGGGGAAAATAGTGGAAAATCTCAAATAATACGTTTTCTTTGGGGACTATTTTGCCTGACAATATCCTGCATGTTTCCCTCCACCATGAGTTTATGTTGTAGACCACTCAGAATGACTTTTGTTTAATTTTTAACCATTTACGTATACAGAAATATGAAAAAATGGTGGATTTCTCCTTCAACTGTTCTACTCTTGTTGCAATTTAGCTTATAACGTACACAGGAACTAAACAGACTTCCAGTGAAATGACATATGTACACTCTTATTTAGCAGAATAAAAGTTCAGCACCGCTCTGTCTTCACAGTTGTTCTTATTTATACAAATAAGCAAGGGAAAAAAAAACCCAACATCAAGCCATGAATGTCCACGTCTGAAATGTTAAATTTATTCTGGTCTATATGTTGACATTGCCTGAGCACAAATATGAACACATCTCCAGACTCAATCAAACTGTGTGACTCAAATATGACCTTCTGTCACATCATGTTAGATCTTTTGGTCACTGACTTTTAATAAAACAACAGAAAATCAAAATTTGATTGTGAGTAGAAGTATAAAAACGACGTGTAATCAGAACAGTGTGTGCTGTTAGATGTTCATCCAAGCAGTCCAAGTTGGCCGTATGGGCAAAAATGTATATCACAGTACAATTAAATTTCGGTACATAAATTTTATCCAAATAAAACAATTTAGATATTTAACATATTTTTGGGTTATTTAAGGGTTCTTTAGGGAAGAAAATGGTTCTGTATAAAACCATGAACACTCAAATAACCCTCTGCATGACTAAAGGGTCCTATGCATCGTTGAATATGGTTTTACATAGCACCAAAAAGGGTTCTTCCATTGTAACAAGCTTGACATCATAACAATAGCAGAACACTTTTTAGTGCTATATACAACCATTTTCAGCAAACAGGAAACTAAATTAGAAGCCATCTTCAGCTTTCTTGAATTTCTCGAGTTGTTTGTCTGATCTTTGCGTCCCGTATGATCTTTAGTGGAAAAAAATGGTTCTATATAGAAGCTTAAACACGCAAAGAAACATTTGCATGATCAAACGGTTCCTTGCATTGTTAGATTGTTCTTCAGATTGGAAAATGTGTTGTATATGGAGAATGTGTTGTATATGGTTCAAAAAAGCATTTAATCATGCAAAGGGTTCTTTGAGTGTTCATGGTTCTATATAGAACAATTTTCTTTACTAAAGAACCCTTGAGAACCATGCTTTATAAGCATGTACGTTAGCAGTTCCTTATTATTCTGGGATGTCCCTACATTTTAAATAAGAAGCATATTCAAAAACACAATGTTTACATCTGAATCTTCTCGAGGCTGAAGTTGGCTTTTTTATTCAGCAGCTTTTTGTCTGAATTTTCCGTTCTACCTTAAATAGAGCAGCAGTTACACTCTAGCAGCTGTATAGGCACCTGAATCTAACAGTGCAACATTTAAGGCGGAGCAGGACATTTAAATAAGAAGCCAAATTTGGCTTTCTTTAATTTTACAAGCTTGACATCGTAACTATAGCAGAACCCTTTCTGGTGCTATTAAGAACCATTTTCAAAAAGGTTTTATTCAGAACCATCTACAACATTCTCTATCAATCTGGAGAACCCTTTCCACCTTTAATCATACAAAGGGTTCTTTGAGTATTTGAGTGGTGCTACACAGACCCACTGTCTTTACTAAAGAACCCTTGAAGAACCATCTTTTTTAAGAGTGTAGTCTAAGCCCAAAAGAGCGGCCTTTCTTTTTGTCTGCTGCCCTGAAAACAGAGTGGAGTTCAGATAAAATATTTCAGCAGTTTTTGTACATTAAGGGGCAGAAATATTGCTGTTATTAACAAATAAACAGTGCTTCTGAGTATGTGAGTATTGTGAGTATTTGGCTGTGGCTCCGTAGTGCTATCTGAGGCAAGGCTCTGGCTCCTGTCTGAGGAAGTGAATGTGAGAAGTAGCTGCAGCTCCAGCGGAGAGTCGGGTCAGTTCATACAGATGATAAATATGAGGCTGGAAGGAACAGAGAGGGAGGGAGGGCAAAAAAGAAAAGAAAAAGAAAAGAGGAGCGCAGCACTGGCCGGTCAAGCCCTCAGTGAGACGCTGTGCTCTCTGGATCAGTTGAGTGGCAGAGCCGAACGCTGATCTCACGCTGGTTATCAATACAGTCCTTCAGCCTGTTCTCCGTCAGAGTCAGCCTCTGCTCCAACACAGACACCGTCTAGAATCAGAGAGAGAGAGAGAGAGAGAGAGAGAGAGAGAGAGAGAGAGAGGAGGGGAGGGAGAGAGAAGGAAAGAGAAAGGGAAAGAGAGAGAGAGGGAGAGAGAAAGAGAAAATAGAACAGAGAGACAGACAGAGAGAGAGAGAGTGAGAGAGAAAGAAGAAAAGAGTACAACAGAGAGAAAGAAAGGAGAAAGAAAACGATACACAAAGAGACAAACAGAACGGGAGACAGAGAGATAGAGAAACAGAGAGAGAATGGAATAGAAAGACAATGAGATAGATAAAGAAAGAGAAAGAAAAAGAATGATAGAGACAGAAGGAGAGAAAGACAGAAACAACAAGACAAAAGCACAGAGGCAGAAAAAGAAACAGACAAAACAGAGTGCAATGAGAGAAAAAGAGAATAAGAATCATATAGAGAAAGAGAAAACAGTTGCAGACAGATATAAAGTGGAGAAAAAGAGCATGAGCAACAGAGAGAAATTAAATGAAAAGAAAAGGGAAAAACAATATGAGACAGAGGAAGAAAACGAGTAACAGAGCAAGAGAGAGAGGTAGAGAAAAACAAGATAAATAGAGGTAGAGAGAGAGAGAGAGGGAAGGGAGAGAGAGAGATAGAGAGAGGAGAGAGAACAAGGCGGGGTTTATTGATGGAGTGTTGTGGGGGGGGGTCATAGTCCGGCGTCAGAAGAATGTATGAATGCGTCTATTTTCGCCCCCCAAACAGATGTGCTGTTCTCCTCGCGCACAATCCGGCTGATTATAGAAGGGGGATACGAGCCCCCTGCGCTCGCCACATGAGGCAGAAACCGAACACCACGGCCTCTATGTGGGGCGGAAACACAGCAGTCCCCCTCAGAGAAGCCCCCCTTTCTCAGCAGCGCAATGAGGAGATGTAGGGGGGGCGGGGGTTAAAGGGCTTGTGCCAGGGCCGGCATGGCTTGGTGGGCCGGCCTCTGAGAACCGTCATCAGGGAGCAGGCGGCACCACAACCGCGCTGACCTTTAAGCACCAGCAGCTGCATAAAACAAACTGAAGATGAATTTTCTATTAAGTTCACCCTTAAGAATTTTCTCAGGTTAAGTGTGTTGCACAGAAATCCTTTTACTGAAGAGCTTCCTAAAGTGAAACTGTCACAGACTCTTAAGCCCAATTCCATTTCACCCCTCGCCCCTACCACTCAGCCCTACCCCTCTGTTTTGTGTATTCACATCTAGGGGTGGGGTGTCCCCATTTTTGTTGAGATAGAGGGGTAGGGCGAAGTGTTTGGGCTACATGGCCCTCCAAACAGAAGTTTTTCAGATACACTCCAAACTAAGTGTTAGGAGAAAAAAACAAAAATCTGCAAGATGGCTGCACAAGCGACCAAGGAAACACCAATGTGAGAATTTTCTCTGTTAAAAATTACAATAACCATTGTATTATCTTAGATTAATGTCATTTTAGTGTATTATGATCCTTTTCTTCATAACAAGCATATAAATCACTAATAGTATGCTAATGTCTCACTAGCTAGCTAGCTAAATTTCCCGTTCCACCTTAAACTGTCCAGCTGTAACGTCCAGGCAACCTGCTAGGCCTGAGTAATTAAGACTTTTGTGTGCTCTCTCACCATTGGGGAGCCATTTGAGTTGGCACAGCCATCACCCCTTCGGTGGCACGGTGCGTAACGTGAAGTCTGGGATTACAGAGATAAGAGGTTTCCTCGTTCAACTCGTTCACCCCTGTTCTTAGCCTTTTGTCTCCTTTTGAAGTTCATTTGTTTCCTGGACCCTTAGCTGCTCTGCGCTTGAGCCTGTCCTCCTTTGTCCACCAGGTGGTTTGTCCTTTAGTGCTCCCAACACGAACATAAGAGTCGTGAGTTCGAGTCTCACTCAGGGAGAACCCCCTGGCGCTTAACACCAGCAGTACTGACGCCTGAAATGCCAAAATGTAACTGCTGCTCCATTTAAGGTGGAACGGGAAAACGCGAACAGCTGGCTTAATTAGGAAGAATTAGTGGTGGGTGATAGTAAATATGGACCCCTCTTTGAAGGCATATGATGCCCTAAAGGTAACTAAAGCCCAACAGTGAGGTTGCTGAACTTTACCCTCCTCTGCTATCACTGCAGACTGGCAGGGTCGCCTACAGAGCAGCGCTAGTAGCCTGTTAATGGAGTAATGTTCTTTTTATTGGAGGTTCCCATTTCGTAGGGAAGATTTCAACCACTACCCTGTAAGTCATTTCCAAGGGGCAACACTTGAAAACAAGGGGTAGGGGTAAAAATAAGAAAAGGGACTGAGCCTTACACTCCCCCTTAAACATCCCTCAAGCATTGCATAAAGTTCCTTAACTGCTATTTCCTTTACATTCTTAAAAATGATGGTTCTTCAAAGGTTCTTTATTAAAGCAAATGGGTCTATATAGAACCATAAACACTTAAAGAACCCTTTGTATGATTAAAAGGTTCTTGCATTAAGGGGTTCTACACAGCACCAAAAAGTTCTGCTATTGTTACGATGTCAAGCTTTTAACAATAGAACCCTTTTTGATTTCCATCTTCCAATCTGAAGAACAACTTCACCATGCAAAGAACCCTTTAAACAAGCAAACCATTCTTTGAGTGTTCATAGTTCTATACAGAACCATTTTCTTTACTGAAGAACCCCTGAAGAACAATCTTTTTAAGAGTATATGATAGTTCAAGGGAAGAAAAGATATTGATAGTATTCCAATGACGTCACAGTCGCGCTACCACCATTTTGGTAGCGACATCAACTTCAAGTGCTGTGTCTGTAATGAGATAAAGCCATAACTGATCCAGCAAAGGCAGTAAAACACGGTTTTCTTTTGGATCACTTTTAAATCTCAATTTTAAAGGGTATTAACTGATATATTTGAGTGTATTGCCTTGATTTCTTTTTTATTTGTTGCTGTAGTGATAACTGTGATAGCTCTGCTGCTTGTTAGTTGCTCATTAAACACCTCCAAGAGGAAGTTTGAGGTGTTTGTCGATTAAGGAGCTTTTATTGAGATGAATTAACACATTTATTGAGGTGAGTTGATGTTGCTTCGTATTTGCCAACTTTTGTAATCCTTCCTATGTTTAAGGCGCCTCAGTGCAGCTCCATTTAAAGTGGAACACTTAATTCAAATGAGAAGCTGGTGAATAAGAAGCTGACTTAAGCTTTGTATCTGTGTATGATGAGACAGCTGTGCCAAGATAAAACAGACACCTAAAGCTTTCTTTATAATCAATCTTGTACAACTAACACAATAAACAAACAGTATTTAAAACACAACAGTACTTAATGTTGACTTGCTTGCTCATCTACAAAGATGTAAGTCCAGCTTCCACTTCTGTAAATTCCAAAAAAAAAATTTCATCAAAATATATTCCATTAACATTAATAAGGAACAAAAAACATGCATAGCTCAACTGAGGGAGCTCCAAAACAGGACGAAATTGTATTTATTTTATGGCTACTTTTTAAACCAGTTATTTTGCACCTACAGTAAAATCTGCTTAGAAAAGCATTGGTCTGTGGAGCAGTGGAACTGTGTTCTCCAGAGTGATGGAGCTCCATCCAATATCTTTGGGATAAGTTGGAGTGATCCAGAACTGACCATTCAACATCAGTACCTGGCCTCACTAATGCTCTTGGTATTTTGTGGGACTTTAAAGAGGAATCCAACAGATCGTTAAAATTTCTGCATAACTTATGTTTAAGAAGTAAACAGAATCATTCAGAGTGGTTTGGTGTGAAACGCTCTGTTCTAGAGAAACTTACCGAGTCAAATTGTTCACAGTGGTGGTGATAGGAACCAGACACCACCTCTAAAAGCTCCCTCTCAGCAAGTTATTACATGAAATGGTTATTAATACGCTGCCTCATGTCTGGCGATAGCTTTGAGAGGATTTTGGCCTAAAATGTATTTTTAAACTCCATTAATGATGGAGGGACACATGCAGGGTGCTGTGAGGCAAAACAGTTTTAACTTATTATTTCAAATTTTCCACTATTTTCCCATCATCAACATTCCATATAAAACTCAGAAGACATATGTAGGTTCACTGGTGGTTTTGGATAGTAAATAAAATGTTTATATTTGTGTTGTAGTCATGGCGACCCCTGGTTCTTATCACCACCACTGTAAAGAAATCTGAACCACTTCACAACAAACCACTTTGAATCACTCTGTTTACAAATCACACACTGATTTATGCAGAAATGTAGAAAGAATGGTGGAATTCCCCTTGTCTGGGGGGCAAATGTTAGTCACATCTTGCTTGAAATAAAAAACATACACAAAAATGACTTTGAACTGTGAAACATGAACTTTGCCTTGTCACATGTAAGCAAAAGCACGGCACAAACTGACGCAGGGTAAAATATAATACGGTTATTTTATGTAATTAAACAGGTTCCAGCAGAACGTACTTTGGGTCATCTTGTGTTCCCATAGCAACGTCATCAGTGAAGGTTCACAGAGGTCAGCCAGATGTTTCTGATTTTGTTTTTTGAAGTGTTTGTAATTAATGAGCTATACAGAATTCACTCCTGTATTATTTAATGTCCTCTTGGTGTGTGTAGTACAGAAGCGTTTTCAAACAGATATAGAGCTCACAGTGAGAGCTAGCCAAGCTGAAGCACAACCTCCACATGGTGGGGGGTGGGGGGGGTGGTTAGTTTAACACAACGTTACAGCTAAGACCCTCGAAGTACACAGAACTCCATATCATATCTCCCCATATACATTCAGAACAGATCATTTTTGGGCGTTATTACTATAGATGTCAAGTAAATAGATAGTGTTTGACCCTCTTTTCACTAATCATATTTATTCTGATGCATTTTTATTATGTATTTAAGTTCATTTGGTTCAAACAATCTTGAATTAAATGTGTTTGCATTGACTCATTGGTAACTGATATAACTTGCCCCTCAGTCTGTTAGTTAGCCCCACCTATGGGGTAAGTTGTAATGTTTGGCTCAAAGGCACTGATATCTAGTTC